ATCCTGCGCGATTGCCCCTATATAAGTGTAAATAGTTGTTGACAGCGTTAATTCATTCCTGAGGGTGTGAGTTCAAGTCAGTGCTGACTGCACTGACTTCTTTACAGATGAAACTCAGTGACTTGAAGTGTCGGATGAACAACAACAGCAAAAACAAGATTACATTTATATAGCGCCTTTCACGTCGGGAGGACGTCCCAAGGCGCTGGACAGTGTACAGCCTTTCAGACCCGAGCTGGGGTTGAGGGGGAGAAGGGAGGGGAGGGGAAGGGGGGTGGCCGATGGCATGGTCGAAGAGGAGGGTCTTGAGGTGGGACTTGAAGGAGACTAAGGAGAGGGCGAGGCGGAGTGATTGGGGGTTGGAATTCCAGAGGTTGGGGGCAGAGTGGCTGAAGACTCTTCCGCCAATGGTGGGACGGTAGGTTGGGGGACGTTGAGCAGGCCGGAGCCGGCTGAGCGGAGGGAGGGAGGGAAGTCATTGTAATTTGGGAATAAAAGGATTCCACTCTTTACATTATCGTGAGAGGTTCTGTAGAAAGTTTTGCCCCAAAATACAGACGATTCACTTTACAATATATTCTTTTTGAGACATCTCAACAACAACAAATTACACTTGCATAGTGTTCTTCATGTCGGAAAGACGTCCCAGGGCGCTGGACAATCAGGGGTTTTGGTCTCAACGGCGTGATAAGGCGCTCCATCAAATGTAAGGATTTTTATTATTATAAAGGCTCTTCGGCCCACTTGATAGGCTCCGAACTCACCAGATAACAGATATTTCTTGTAAGTAATGAGAAAAGATCTGGTGTCAGAAATGACATAATCACAAGGTCACATGAGAGGTCCAAGTAAAGATGACTCTTCAGGCCTTCACTTTGATCTAATTATTTCCAGAATCCCCACCCTAACATCCTCACCTTTACAGAATCAAGCTATTTATTAAATGAGTATTCCCTTCTCAACCACCCTCCCTGGTTAACCGTTTCAGTTATTGCTGCTAACCCCGTGTGTAACAAAATACTTGCGGGCGTCTGTCCAAAACTTGCCCTTCACACCCCTGAACTTATGCCCTCTTGTCCTGCTGCTTATGTGGTTTATTTTTTATATACTATTTACCATCTTATATGCATTTGAAAGGATAATAATAATAATAATCCTTGCATTTGATATAGCGCTTTTCACGTCGGGAGGACGTCCCAAAGTGCTTCACAGAACACACTGTAAAGTGAATTGACTGTATATTTGTGGGCGAACGCGGCAGCCAATTGCGCACAGCAATGTCCCACAAACAGTCGTAGATTGAAAATGACCAATTTATTATTGTTTTGGGTTTTGGAGGGATTATTATTAGGCTCTGTGTGGAGTAAGGAAACTTGCCCAAGGTTTCGCCCTCTGCCTGGAATTGAACTCAGGTCTCTCACTTGCAAAGCGAGTGCTCTAACCACTGAGCTACAGGACTCCACGGACAGGACCCCCTACAGGATGGGGCAGGCTGGGCAGGGAGGGAGGGAGATGTTTCTTTTGAAGGGAAGAAGTCTGGGTTTATCTAGTGATTCATTTCCCCTCTAACAGTCTGGTTGATTTTATCTGTTCTGCAACCTATTCCAATCTACTCTCAAATCCCAGCCTTGTTTTTATCCCTTAGCTGCAAGGCCGTATTGCAACTTTGACTCCAATAGACTTGCAGTCAAGATACGCCCTCTGATATTCCACTACCCACAGGAGCTATTGTTGCTTACACTCGGCTTCTCGACGTCTCAAAGCGCTTCACAGAATACTGTAAAGTGAATTGACTGTATATTTGCGGGTGAATGTGAACTCTGTATGCTTAATGGTTTGATAAGAGATTACAATGGCAGCTCCTCCCATTCTAACATGTTGAGTTGTAAGCTGCTGTTCTGTGTCTCAAAGCGCAGGAGGACTAACTGAGACCTTCACAGAGGCTGAACTTGATTCTGACATTCCGTTGCGAATCATATCACCTTGGAGCCAGCTCATCGATTTGTGGATAATACAGCTGAGAAGCAGGTCATTTGGCTCATCCACACCATTGCATATCCTAGATCCTATCCCTCATCCCATATCCTGGTTGCTTCCCCATATTCCTCAACTTTATACTCTCTTAGACATCCATAACGTTTTGTCCAGTCTTTTGTTTTGAATGTGCACACAGTTGCCGCCCCGACTGCGGCAGAGAATTCCACCCTCCCACCACTCCCTGTAGGAAAAGGCTTTTCCTAATTTCTGTTCTGGACCTCCCAGTTCTGATTCTAAAACTATGCCCTACTTCTAGATTCCCAAGAAATAATGTTCCCCTGCCCACTAAGTCTCTCATCATCTAATACACTGTACCTCTAAATCCCCTCACACCTTCTGAGCTCTAAAGAAAAAAAGCCTCAACTCAGAGACCCCATTTCCCTTACCCTCGTCCAAGTCACTAGTTGGTCATATGACATCTGAAAACTCAGGTTTTTGCTCTCACTCGCCTGGTGGATGGAAGACAGCACCTAATAATACTTACATTTGATAAAGTCACATTGTGATTAACTGTTTATTTTCTGTGCAAAACATGCCAGCCAATTGCACATAGCAAATGTCCCACAAAGAGTCCTGGAGCATCGTGGTCAGGGCACATGCCTCGCAAGCAAGAGGACCTGGGCAGGGCAAAACATTGTGTAAGTTTCCTTACTCCACAGGACTATTTACCCAGCAGTAAGTAGGAACCAGGTTGTTAGTTGATTGGTGGGTCACTTTCCAGGGGATAACAATCCCTTTTTAAAAAAATTGGTCAATCAATCCCCGATTGTTTGTGGGACACTATTGTGCTGCTGGGTTTCACCCACAAATTATACAATCAAAGACATGATAAGGCACTGTATCAAATGCAAGGATTATATATTAAACAGTAGTGAGAGACCAATTTTATTTGGAGGATTGTTGGCCAGGATATCCATTGAGAGAGCAACTCCCTTCTCTTTTGAGTAGAGACACAGCATCTTTAACATCCACATGAATAGACAGATGGGACTCGATTTAACATCTCATCAGGAGCACAGCATCTCCAACACCCAACACACTCTCAGCCCGACATTGGAGCGTCAGCTTAGACTGTGTGATTCCAAATCCAGACCTGAGGCTTGAACCCATTACTTGTAACTCCAAGACAAGAGCGCTGCCACTGAGTCAGGCTGGCACACTGCACCTGTGCTCACTCAATATAGCACCCCCCCAGCCTGCACCCCCCCCACCCCAGCCTGCACCCCCCCCACCCCAGCCTGCATCCCCCCCACCCCAGCCTGCATCCCCCCCACCCCAGCCTGCATTCCCCCACCGCAGCCTGAACCCCCCCCACCCCCAGCCTGAAGCCCCCACCACCACCAGCCTGCACCCTCCCCACCCCAGCCTGCACCCCCCCACCCCAGCCTGCATCTCCCCACCCCAGCCTGAACCCCCCAGCCTGCATCCCCCCACCCCCAGCCTGCACCCCCCCCACCCCAGCCTGCACCCCCCATCCCAGCCTGCACCCCTCCCACCCCAGCCTGCATTCCTCCCACCCCAGCCTGACCCCCCCCACCCCAGCCTGAACCCCCCCACCCCAGCCTGAACCCCCCCACCCCCAGCCTGCACACCCCCCACCCCTAGCCTGCACACCCCCCACCCCCAGCCTGCATCCCCCCACCCCCAGCCTGCATCCCCCCACCCCCAGCCTGCACCGCCCCCACCCCAGCCTGCACCCCCCTCCACCCCCAGCCTGCACCCCCTCCACCCCCAGCCTGCACCCCCCTCCACCCCCAGCCTGCACCCCCCTCCACCCCCAGCCTGCATCCCCCCACCCCAGCCTGCATCCCCCACCCCCAGCCTGCATCCCTCCCAGCCTGTATCCCCCCCCCCAGCCTGCATCCCCCCCACCCCCAGCCTGCATCCCCCCCACCCCCAGCCTGCATCCCCCCCACTCCCAGCCTGCATCCCCCCCACCCCCAGCCTGCATCCCCCCCACCCCCAGCCTGCACCCCCCCACCCCCAGCCTGCACCCCCCCCACCCCCAGCCTGCATCCCTCCCAGCCTGTATCCCCCCACCCCCAGCCTGCATCCCCTCCCCCCAGCCAGCATCCCCCCCCAGCCTGCATCCCCCCCGCCTGCATCCCACCCCCAGCCTGCATTCCACCCCCCAGCCTGCATCCCCCCCCAGCCTGCATCCCCCACCAGCCTGCATCCCCCACCAGCCTGCATCCCCCCCCCACAGCCTGCATCCCCTCCCCACAGCCTGCATCCCCCCCACCCCCAGCCTGCATCCCCCCACCCCCAGCCTGCATCTCCCCCCCAACCCAGCCTGCATCCCCCCAGCCTGCACCCCTCCCAGCCTGTATCCCCCCCAGCCTGCCCCCCCACCCCCAGCCTGCATTCCCCCCCCAGCCAGCATCCCCACCCCAGCCTGCATCCCTCCCACCCCCCGCCTGCACCCCCCCCCCACCCCCCGCCTGCACCCCCCCCCCCCCCGCCTGCACCCCCCCCCCACCTGCACCCCCCACCCCCCGCCTGCACCCCCCCACCCCCCGCCTGCATCCCCCCACCCCCCGCCTGCATCCCCCCACCCCAGCCTGCACCCCCCCAGCCTGCTCCTCTCTCCCCCGCCTGCCTTACCTTCGCAGCCTACACCTCCCCCACCTCCTGCCTGCGACCCTCCCCCTTCCCCGTGCCTCGGTTGAGTTGCACGCACACCAACGTGCTGACGCAGGGAGCACGCTGCGCAGTACGGGGTTACGGTGCAGGTGGTGGTGCTGCTGATCAGGAGAACCCTCCGCGTCCTCGTCCACGCTGCGTCTCCGTCTCTTCGCGAGAGGCACGCACGTCAACGTGCTGACGTAAGCAGGTGCGGCAGGGTGGGAGTGCGGGAGCGGGTGTTGTTATTGGATGAGCGCGGGCCCCTCCTCCGCTGGCCCGGGGTTGGGGGCGTGGCCGCGTGGAGGCGAGGAGGCGCGCGTGCGCCCTGAGCCCCTCCTCTGGCCGGGCTGTGAGGTGAGGCAGCGCGCGCCGCGTGAGCTCCAGCTCCAACCGCCGCCGCCGGTGGTGAGTGAGGCGGGCGCGGCGGCTATGGCGGCGAGTGGGAGGGGGAGAGAGAGAGAGAGATGGCGGGAGGGGGGGAGCGGGAGAGAAACAGATAGAAGACGAGCGACGACCATTTCGGTTTTGTTGTCGATGCGCGGTTGGCCGCTGTGAGGCGAGGCCGGGCCGCGCGCGGGGGGGGGGGCGGGGGGAGTAGGTGGGTTGGTTTGAATTTAGTTAGGCCTCGGACCGTTATTTTTTCTCTCTTTCCCAACCTCCCCCTCACCCGCCCAATTATGAGAGTCCCCAGCACGCTCTCGGCTGTAAATGTTGACCTGGCTTTCGGGGATCGGGCGGCCCGATGCGGTGACGGGCTGGGGTTGGGGGTGAGGAGGGAGGAAGGAGGCTGTTGTTAAGGGGGGGTTGGGGTGAGGGGCAAGAGAGAGAGGAAACCGTCGCCGCAGCATTCGGGAGTAGGCCTCCGCCAGAACTGGGGCCTCGAGTCCGCGGGCAGGGGAGGGCAGGGAATGAATGGGTGGGCGGCGGCTTTTTTAATAACTGAGCCCGCGGCTTGAGGTCGGGCGGTCTGGCCTGGCCTAGAGCTGCCCCTGGGTGGGTGAGATGGCTGTCCCGGTCTGTGACTTTCCCCTCCCCTCCTTTCCACCACCCCCGGTGCCGCGGGCGGGCGGACGGCTCTAACTTTGCCGACGAGGAGCAGAAGGCGGCGGCTCTCAGGCTAGGCCGCAGGCTCCGGGAGGGACCAGCGTGATGGAGCAAATCGGGTGGCCGGCCACTTCCGGGGCAGGGGTCACCGCATGCGGCAGCGTGGCTGCTGCGCATGTGCGGGCGGCGGGGCCCCTCTTTGTAGCCACTAACCATGGATGGAGGCGCCATAGCAGAGAGAGCTGGGATCCTGCAGCACTGGGAGCTCACCATCGTGTCTGTGCTGGGGCCCTGACAGCGCTCTCTGTCCCCACCCCCAGCTCCCCCCCCCCCGCACTTTTCTAGATTTTTCTTTTGGAATTGCTCCCAATTCCCTTTTTAAAAGCTACCTGTATGCGTTCCATGTCCTGATGTACCCAATCTGTGTCTTTTTAACAAAAAAATAATTCCTCCATTTGTTTTTTTTCTTTCTCTCTCTTCCTCCCCCTCCACCCCTTACCCTCAACTAAAGTCTCTGCATTTTAAGAGGCAGGCAGGGCTTGGACAAAGAGCGACAGACAGCACAACTTGCAGGAGGTTTTGCTTTTTTCCTCCTCCCCCCACCACCATCACAGCTCCATCTCTGCCAGCACTGCTGCTCCTCTCCGACCTACAAGTATGTGTGTGTGTGTGTATATGTATATATATATATGTATTTCCCTCTTTATATAAGCATATTGTCTGTGTTGAGAAAATGTTATATAGATATATGTACATAGCGCATGAGAAGGGAAATAAGGATGAATGTTGCGCACACTTAAAAAGAACAGTTAAAATAAAGAACTGTGGCCTGTGTAGTAAAATTCAAGATTCCACCTTGAATGTGTACAGTCGTTGAGCTCCATGCCTTCTCTACTCCCCGTGCAAAATTTGTCAGGTTTGGGCTGGGCTGCGCTGTCCCATGTGGCTGAAGTCTCATTCAACACACGATTTGCAGAATGGCCACTTGGGGCTGATGTACTGCAGGATGAATTGCTGGATTAGAAAGTAGGGATGAGAAGAGGAGGGAGTTCTGTGGTTCTGTTTCAGTAATGGTAAAGCAGCAGTAAATGTTTGCACGTATCCAAGGCTTTTACAAATTCATATTCTATGTAAAATTCTCTTTTTTAATGCATTTGGGTTGATGTCTGTTGACTGTATTTTACCTCCCTTAAAACATCATTAAAAAAGAGCAATTGTATAGATACATTGATAGTGCGAAACTTGTAGTTAAATGAGAAATATTCGGGATAACGGTGAAATAACTGCTTATTTACAAAGTCAGTTCTTCCTCTTTCAGTGTCCAATAAAACGTCAGCCTTGAATCAAATGGAGGTCCCTGAGTTGGATTTCACTACGGGTGATGCTGGGGCATCTGCCACCTTCCCGACGCAGTGCTCCTCACTGCGTAAAAACGGATTTGTGGTCCTCAAGGGGCGTCCCTGCAAGATAGTTGAGATGTCAACCTCCAAGACTGGCAAGCACGGCCATGCCAAGGTACAGTATAGTACTATGCTTAACGCCCTTCATAAGATCTAGAGAGTCTATAATTGAATCTCTGTAATGTTTTTGTAAGTTTTTTTTGTATGTTTACAGAGAATTGTTTTTTTAAATAGCCAGTGTTTCTACTTCGCCATCAAGTTTCATATTTTACTGAGAGCTATTTTTATTCTTCAAATGATTCCTGGGTTTCTTTCAATCCAAGACTAGGTGTATTGCATGGCCTGTTTTTTGTGTTGCGGATGCATCGTGGTATTGTTCCACGGGTGTAGCTTTTTTAATTTGGCATATCCATGTAGCAGCTTGCGTTGCTGTATTTACAGTCAAGCAGGTTTTATTGCTGCTGTGATGGCAGGAAGTTGTGATGTCATTCTTTTATGGCACGGCTTTGAAAGCAGTACTATGTTTGCAATGGATGCATTTGTAAAATAATTCAGAAAGTTTATAAATTGTGTGCTGGTCAATTTAATACTTCCCACACTGGTGTAAAAATATACAAAGCCTGGAAAGCTCTTGTGAGGTCGGCTATTGCTGATACTTGCCCTGTGTAAATTAACCTTGTGACGGAGCCTGGAGTTCCTTGCTGGAGGTTGCTTCAAGAAACGGTTCTCTAACGAACAATGTTTTTCAGTTCATATAATTTGCGTGTGTGCAAAATATCATGCACAAAAAAAACGGAATTGGCTCCTAATCTTGTGGAGACGTACAAATCGCTGAGAGAAATGAGTGAAACTTGTGGTGGGCAGTTATTTTCTCATGTCCCCATTCGGGAAATGCTGGTATCTCCTGGTAACCCCTGCTCACTCGCAGTGCTGTATACCCCTTGGTCTAGAATTCCTCTCAGCTTTGATCTGCAGGCAAGTAGACACTGGCTTTTGGCACAAGACTGAGTGCATCAATACTTGCGTCCCTTGAGGGAGGGCAACCTTTAATTTTTCTTGCACAGCAGAATGTTCTGATTGTATTTGCTGAAGTATTTGAGCTGTTGTGCGGTTTTTGCATTATGCTGAGTATTTGTGTTGTATATTGACAGGTTCATTTGGTTGGCATTGATATATTCACTGGGAAGAAATATGAAGATATCTGTCCTTCCACCCACAACATGGATGTTCCTAACATCAAGAGATGCGATTACCAGGTGAGTCTTGTGTCGACTGCTGTGATTCACTCGGAGGAATTTCCCATGTGGGTGTCTTGAGTCACTCTTTGTGTAGTTTGTATGGTGACATTAAATGTAAATTGAAAACTGGCTGTGGATCAAGTTTCGGACCTCTTCAAATGAGAAATTTTAGTGATACTGAATTTGAATGTATGATAATAATAATCCATGCATTTGATATAGTGCCTTATCACGTCTTCGAGGCAACTCAAAGCCTTCACAGAATATACTGTGACTGTTATGCACAGCAGTGTTCCACAAATAGTGATGGATTGAGTGACCAAATTATTATTTTTATTACCCACAGAAAGCAATCTGCCAATTGTCTAATACTTTAATAATAATATTTTGAAGAGATGCTTTGCACTTATAGGATGCAGTAGAATCTGCTATTAGAGGTTGTATTTAGCATCTAATGGTGCATTGTGTGCGAACTGGAATTTCCGTATGATGTACAGGCTGGATTACTCCTGCACTTCTGGTTGGCTGCCATGTTTTATGCTGTTGAAATATCAATAGCTTCTTACATGTAATCGTGAGTGTTTTTATGTACAGTGACAAATGAACCTGATGTCACTGATTATTTACTTTACTAACTATTTGGGCTAATCTGAATTTACCACTTTTCTAAACTAAATGGGCTGCTTCAAGTCTGCTCTATTCCGTAGTGTGCATATTGATATGTTCAATTTTTTCTCCCTGAGGGCATTTTATCTCAATGGAGGTATAAGTTGCACAAACTGCTTTCAACAACAAATTGCATTTATATCGCACCTTTCATCTTGGGAGAACATCCACTATTGAGAAATGTATTTCCTAAGTGGTATGGGTGTTGCCCCAACTGGTACAAGTCTGACTGTCAAATTATCGAAACCGACAAAGGAAAGGAACAAATTAGGCGTGTAGAGAGCAAAGTGCAGGGATAGATTAGAGGAGAGAGAGACTGGCAGGGTGGGGAAAAAAGTAAAAGGGATTCCAGGTGTAAAGCACCTTACACTTCACCAAAATACAAATAAGCAATCCTTATTTTCAAGCATCAGGAACAGCAGGATGGGCAGGCAAAAGATCTTTATCTTGTTAACTGGTTTAAACTGTATGTGGCACTTTTTCTATTGTATGGGTTCTATTCAATAACTACTCCGTGAAAAGGATTTTAATTAGACTTATGTGAGTTACTACTGACTCAGCAACTCACACTATGCACAAGTTAGAAGTTTGAACAGTGTTTATACTATAAGCTTCCAGAATTAGTGATCGAGGAGTATAATAATAATCCTTGCATTTGATATAGCGCTTTTCATGTCTTCTAGACGTCCCAAAGCGCTTCACAGAATATACTGTAAAGTGAATTGACTGTATATTTGTGGGCGCACGCGGCAGCCAATTGCGCACAGCAATGTCCCACAAACAGTTGTGGATTGCAAATGACCAATTTTTATTATTATTTTTTTTTGGAGGGATTATTATTAGGCTCTGTGTGGAGTAAGGAAACTTGCCCAAGGTTTTGCCCTGACCTGCCTGGAATTTAACTCAGGTCTCTCACTTGCAAAGCGAGTGCTCTAACCACTGAGCTACAGGACTCCACTGTATGCCAAAATGTTAAGCCTAATTTATATATTTCAGCTTCAAAGGAACTCAGTTGTTAGTCGATTGGTGGATTGCTTTCCAGGGTTATTAATCCCTCTGCAATCGGCTGTTGCATTTCGCTCACAAAACCACACAATCAATCCAATTTTACACTGTATTCTGCGAAGCATTTTGAGATCTCTCACTGTCATGAAAAGGCACTAAATCAAATCCAAGTATTATTACTAAGGCAGTTAAATGACTGAATTTTAGATCTGGCGAAGTATTGTCAACTTTGTGTCTGTCATTAAAGCCTAGTGATTAACTGTTAAATAATGAACTATCTCTTTAAAAACTGCTAGGTGTCAATTTGACTACCTGGGATTCCTGAGGGCAATGGGGAGTGTAACTGGCATTGATTCACTAGCAATTTGTAGGGTGATCAAATTGTCCTGATCCTGATATTCCCACCCTTTGGTGCTACTGTGGGAGAGCCTTTTCTGTATATTTTAATGCTGCCTAAATGGATTAGTTAATAATCCTTGCATTTGATGCAACACCTTATCACGTTTTTAGGACGTCTCAATGCGCTTCACCAAATATACTGTAAAGTGAATTGACTATATTTTGTGGGCAAAATGTGTTTAAATCATGTAAATTTTGTCTCTTTTTGGAAGGTGTGTGCAGCTTGGGTGCTACATTTTTTTTCCTTTGCTCTTACTCACACAGCCCTGCCTGGATTCAGGTGTTTGAGGGGCACTTTCTGCTCTGCCCAAGTTACCATTCACCTTTTGTGAGCCTAGACGTTTTCAGCAGGGCATGACTGGTCATGTCTTTAACTGATGGGTCCTATCTTTAATTGTATTGAGCAGTTATTGGAAATAGATTTTCCTTTCTTGTTTGTAAATGAGTAACATAACGGGCCAGGAATTATACTTGGGAACTGTTGTTTTTGTGGCTTGTATCAGGCTTGTGTCAGAGCGTACCGATATCAACTCACACAAATTTGCTGCACAGTAGAGTAAGGTAGATGACTAGAATTTTGCTAAATAAACTCAGTGCAGAAAGATTTGACAGTCTTTTTTTCTTTAAGTGGGTCCACAAACAGTACTGCAGCTTGGCTGTGGACTGAATAGTTTCTTTATGGTGTAATTTTCACATTTGTATTTAATAATAATAATCCTTGCATTTGATGTATTCTAATAGTGATCAGAAATGGTATATTTCAACAAACAGTACAATAAACACCAATATTTTCCCCATATTTTAGGCCTAGTTTTGGAGTTTACTGTTATTTCTTTTGATGAGATGTTAAACCAAGGTCTCGTCTGCCTTTTTGGGTGGATATTAAAGACCCATTTGCGCTATTCAAAAAGGGAAGGGAGTTTCTGGCCAACAATCCCCCAAATAAAATTGGTCACTCACTCCATGGCTGTTTATGGGACATTTTACAGTATATTCTGTGAAACACTTTGAGATGTCTCGATGATATAAACTGTGTATCAACCGCAAAGATTATTATTATTATTTCCAGCTAGCTATAGAATGTGGCACTTATCAAAATGCTGGTATATTTGAATCAATTCAAAGCAGTAATCTTGACTGTCTCAATATTTATGTTAATGTCCACGGTTTCTAGTTGAACTACAGGTTTCAAATACTCGAAGACATTGGTGGCTTCCAACAATTTTTTTCTGTTAATAAAAATACCTGTAGACGTTCCCAACATTTTAGTGGATGTTGCTTTGTTTGTTCTAAGTGATTGAATCGTGCCCATTAACATCAATGCCACGCTCTCAACGTTGGATTTGAAATACAGAGGGTTGCTGGACTTAAGACATCCCTTTGAATACCGCATGTTCATTGCTTTGCTCAGTTCCTATATTCTTGTAGAAGGGTATAGTTCTATTCAATTGATCTGGGTATGGAAAGCACTGGGTATAAGTACATTCACATATATCTTGTTTATGTTTAAATTGCTACGTAGAATATGGACGTAGTTCCCTTTACGTAATGTATAGAACTAAAGTAATGGGGTGGTTTTATAATTTCAGAAATTATTTGTGTAGTTAAGAGAGAACAACTAGACCAGTAAAAATCTTCATACAACACCTTGCATTTATATAGCGCCCTGCCGGGTGGCATCTCATTGCGCTTAACAGTGGTGGAGCCCGATTCCCAGCCAGGGGGAGGTGACTGTAGACCAGGTCGAAGAGGAAAGTCTTCAACTGCGACCTGAAAATGGCGAGGGAGGGAGCAAGGTGAAGGGACTAAGAGAGAGATTTGCACAGTTTTGTGGCATAATGGCTGAAATTACGGCCGCCGATGGTGAGGTGGAGGGTCTGGGACAAGGAGGAGGCGGAGCCAGTTGAGCGGAGGCAGTGGGTAGTGATGTAGGGAGAGAGCAGGTTGGAGAGATGGGGCTATCAGGGCGTGGAGGGATTTAAATACAAGAGTGAGGATCTTGAAATCGATCCGCTCTGTGATAGGGAGTAAATGGAGTAATGGAGACAGTGCAGGTGATAATGCTGGCAGTGGAGTTTTTAATTAGTTGAATTCTGTGAATAGAGGAGCATGGGAGACCGACGAGGAGGGCATTTGAGTAATCGAGGCAGGGCTGACGAAGGCATGGATGTGGGTTTGGCCAGCCTTTGGAGTGAGTTACAGGTGAAGGTTGTCAATGTGGCAGAGGTGGAGTGAAGGGATCCTGGCCAGGGACCGGGTGTGGGGTACAAAGGATAACTGGGTGTTCAACCTGATGCCTAACTCTGCAATAACCGTTTCTATTTAGCTAAAGTGACTGTGTTTTGCAGCTGATTGGGATCACAGATGGCTACCTCTCTCTGCTGATGGACAGTGGTGAAGTGCGTGAGGATCTTAAACTCCCAGAAGGTGAACTGGGAAAGGAAATAGAACAGAAATTCGAGGCTGGGGAAGAGCTTCTGGTAAGCACACTGTAAAGTGGCAGCAGCTTGGACTTAAGTTACAATATAGTGCTAATGGTGCTACAGTTTAGCTTGTACACCTGAGGTTTTTGGTTATATTCGAGGCTCCAAAACCAAACTAAGATTTCCATGCATCTCCCCACACATGGAAATCCCAGAGATAGATTGTTGAAATTGAATGTTCACTCTGGCCCTGGAGAGACCCATCCTGCTTACCTAATTCTGGAGAGTGTGAGGTGCAGGTTGGCAAGAGCCAAGGCTTGGGAACCCCAGGGCATGCGTTGGGGTAACTGCTGGAGTGTAACCAGCTAAAACCGCATAGCTTGCAAGGTTTGACAAGGTTTCTCACTGAGTTGTCTGAAGGTGTTGTCTTTCAGGTTAGATGTTAAATTGAGGTCCTGCCTGCCTGTTCTTTGGATAGCTGTTAAAGATAAAGCCTTGCAAGCTGAATGTGTGAACTGGGGCAATTTATTTTACTGTATTTATTATGAGATATACTCCCACTTTAGAAACTTACATCTAGAATGATAGAACATTCTCCCGACGTGAAAGGCGCTTTATAAATGAAATGTTGTTGTTGAACATGCAGGAGGCTTGTGGTGTGCTTGGTCAGGGAGACTGATCTTCCTCTTCGACCCTGCCTATGGTCATCTCTCCCCTCCCCTGGCTAGGCGGCATGCTCCACCACTGTCGAGGGCTCTGGGACACTGCCCTGAATGAGAGGTGCTGCGTAAATGCAAGTTGTTGATCGTCTTGTATTCTGACCTCTGTTTTTTTGCTTGCCTAGATCTCCGTTGTGAGTGCCATGGGTGAAGAGACCGCTGTCGCCATCAAGGGAATGACCAAGTAAACGGGATCAAGACGCCAGACCTGACTGCTCAGGCCAAAACTATAGATCTTAATTGGGTTAATTGTAGCCAAAGTAACGGCCTTCACACCATGACCTCATTTCCTTAGAGTTTTTTTCCAAATAGCGCCGGCCGGACCTTCCTGACCAATCGACTGAGCAGCCGTCCCCGCAGGCTGATTGACATCAAACTTAAATCACAGTTCTTGCTGATGCTCCGTATGAAAGATTGGATTCTAATGTTTCTCACTATTGGCCCTCTCTGTTAGTAGAACAGGTCTGTAGAGTGAACTCTTAAGAGCCACATAGCCTGTGATTGGTTGGTGCCCATCTGCCTTGCTTAGTGAGGGTTTCTGGCACAATACACCTAGTGGCCACGTGCAACTAACTAACTGTATTACCTCTGTTATACTTCTGCCGGCTTTTGTTGGTATCTCACGTTGTAAAACTCAGCTAATACAATGTCAACGCTTGTCCTAGGCTGATAGGACTGGCATTTCCGAATGTCGTACAGGCACTCAAAAACAGTGCTGGTGCGAGACTGGGGTGTGTGGGGGACTGCAGGTGTTATGCTGCGAAATTTCACTCGAGGCCTTTGTCACCAGACTGATAAAAATATAATAAAAAAGGAAAATACAGTTCAGTTGCTTATTTCTTTTATTGTATTTATCATGCAATGGTATTAAAATGAGTGAAGAATTTCCCTGGAGTTTATGTTCTTATCTGTGTGAGGTGTATCTTGTTTGGCATTTGGGGAATTAGTTGAGATAAATTTGACTGTGCTACAGTCTATTCTTGTTTGAACACTTGTATCAGTCTTTGTAGACCTTTTTAATCTGTTAGCTGCAGTGGTCACTGGCAGACTCATTACCACTATTACTGGTCGTGTGGTGGGTGTGGCTGTCGGTGCTGACTGATTGATTAGTGGATCTATACAGAAGGAAAGCTTGTTTTTTGTTACTGGACTGCTGAATTTTAAAACTTAAAATCAACTAGTGTTTTGCATAATAGCTGGCATTAAACATTCAATCCAAGGCATAAGAAACTCTGAACTCTTTTAGGCATTGCTTCCCCCCCCCCCCCCATACATATATTTCACAAAAATATGGTGAGGCTGTCTTATTGGCTGCTTGTACCCTGTGGGCTTCTGAACTAATCACTATCCTAGGGGTTTACTTGCACTGACCAGTATGCAACTTGACTCATTTGTAAATCTGACAATGTGTGAGTTTTGTTTCTGAGGCGCTTTCCACTGAAAACATTGGAAGTACTGAAAGCAAACATTGAAAGTTCTCAGAGTAATTCACGTGTGTGTGTGTGTGTGTAGTAAAGGGTGTGGAGTGGTGGTGGTATTTTAGTTATGCTGCAAAAAAGCTTTGTTATAGGGTGGACACTGCATTAATTATCCTTCCTTGTAGTGCAAAATTATCATTGGCTTCAGTTTGTTGGGAGGATGCCTTTACTGCTATGCAACAAGCGAGGGATAGGGCTCGTCGGGGAGGGTGGACAGTTTCTTGTCTAAATGTCTTTTGTGGGTGAGCACACTGTCCTTTTATCGCAGGCTTTTGGGTTTGGGTTCAAGTCCAGTCCAAAGCTGATGGGATGGGAAGCTTTTCCATTGTTCTGTCCACTGCAGTTGCCCCACACTTTCACACAGCACACTTCAATCTAGTTCCCTCACTGTGGGTACGGGCTTACAGCACAAAATGTAACTTGACAGTACAGTAGTAAATTTGAAACCTTGCTCAGGAGTGGAAATATATTTTCTGTGGGGAACAGATATTTTACAGTGTTGCAGAAAGGGCTGCTCTATCCTGAGGGCAAAGCAGTGGGAAGTTTTATAATTGGCTTCTCTTACCTGGGAATGCTCCGGGTTTGGCAGGGAATGCCCAAAAAGGGAAAACATTTCCTCAGGATTCGCACATAACGTATGTCACCTTGAACACAACAAAACATTTTTTGCCACAAGCGGTTGCTGAAGGGATAGTGTGTGCCCTGTTGGTCTTGCTGTTTGGACGGCGTTATATAAATATTGTAGTATGATGCTTCAGCGTGAATGAATTGTTAAAAGACTTCATTATGGCTACCCCTAGGGCGTATTGACCTGCAGATAAATGTACAATAAAATGATTGATTTCAAATCTGTTTGCCTGAAAACCCAGATTCCCATTAATATGTTGTAGGGTATGGACTGTAGTATACCACCTGGAGTTACAACCTGTTTCTCTGTCTCTTACAGGCATCGTAGTTATCTAATGTGATTCAAACTGCCCCCTCACCCTGTAGAAAACTTGCGTTTAGTACATTGTGTAGAAAAGCATAACCATATCAATGAACATTTCTAATTTCACAGTAAAGATTTTGGGTTGTTGAAGGCTGTTTAAATTTGGTTTCTCCGTGTCGTCTCTTGAAATGGGAATTCGCACTCCCTGTGTATTGATTACTTGTGTTTGCGTGCCGCATTGGTTGAGCTAGCAATATTACTGGATTTTTTTTCACTTTTTAAGCGTAATGAAACCCAAGGCTAAAGTTATTCCAGAAACACGTTTTTTTTAAAAAAAGTATTAAAAGAAACTTGAGTTGAACTGATTGCCTGTGATGCCATTTATAAAGGAACGATGCTAATACAGTATGAGTTTTGCACAAACCTGTAAGCTCAAATTAAAATTTGTTCAGATACCCGCTGTCCTGACTAGTTCATCTCCTTTTTCTTTGGTTTAATTCCTATAATAATAATCCTTGCATTTGATATAGTGCCTTATATCTTTGAGACGTCTCGAAGCATCTGCCATCGACTAACAACCAGGTTTCTACTTACTACTAGGTAAACAGGTGTACAGAGTAAGCAACCTAATATTTCACCCTGCCTGGGAAATGAACCCAGATCCTCTCGCTCGCTTCGAGGCGAGTGCTCTAGGCACTATGCTACAGGACTGCATGATATTCAATAGCAAGCTTGGGAAAATCAATTGCACCATCAAAGCTGAGCAGTGTATTTCACAATTTGGCTCGAATTCACAAGTTAGTAGCTTGGGGGCTGGTAGTGATTGGCAGCCAGCCCGTGAATTACAGCGGATATTATCTACACAGCCATCTCCATTTTTGATATTTCCAGGTGCAAAGGCAGCATGTTGTTGATTTCACAATCAAAAATCTTTAAAACATGACTGGGACAATGCACATTTTGTTTGCTGCTGGGATCCTAAAATCTGCCAACAAGATTTTGGATGCTGCCGTTTGCTACTTGCCAGGGGGATATCATTTACATTTAGTACAGCACTTTTTATGTCGGGAGACATGTCTCAAAGTGCCTTACAGGATGTACTGTAAAGTGCAATGACTTGTAGGTGAAATGCCTACAAAACATCCTTGAATGTGTTTTATTTATCCAGCCTAATCCCTTATGCTGAAATTATGCTGTCTTTCAGTTTCCCTGCTCGTTAATATGGAGACTGCTGTGTCTTAAAACAATGGTCTTATTACAATAACACACATCACGTTGGGGGTTGGGTTTAGATCTTCACCCAGAAAGACTTTATATGTTGGCAAATATTTTGCAAGTAATAGGGTTTATATTGACATCTCTAAAGAAATCCTCCAGCTCTAGACGCTATGCGAGGGAGTAGGGAATTGAAGCTGAGACTGGGAATTGAAGCTGCGACTGAAAGCCACCAGTTAGGTGGGTTGTGCTTTGCGGTCGGACCTTCAGCCTTTCTGCCCCTGCCCTTGGGAACTCCATCCCACAGTCCCTTTGCCTTGCCTCCTTCAAGGCCTGTCTCAAGACCTTCCTCTTTCTACCCCTGCCCTGATGCCTCCTGATCCCCAACTTGGGTCCAAATTCTCGTCTTGGGACGTCCTCCCGACGTGAAAGCTGTTGTGTAAATGTAATATGTTGTTGAGCAGGGAGGGAGCTGTGAGGCCCAGTTGCTAATTTCAATGAACTATTTTTACCCGAGGGCAGACTACTAATAAACCAATAGTGTGGCAGGTATATTTAAAGTCTGTAACCTCAATGATCATAAAATGCATCACCAGTGCTAGAGCAGTTATTGTGGAGAAAAGGGTTGCAAAGGCTGGGCTTACCATAGAGAAGGGATTCAAAATTCCAGCAAATTAAATTACATTTTTTAATAAACTACTTTGAATGACGTGTACTGTGTAAGGAAGGCACTGTCATTCCTGTAATAACGACTGCTGTGTGAATAAACAGCTGCTAAATGGCACAGGACAGAATGCAATAAAGACTGAGCACAACAACTGGTTGAGAATTTGTTGATTAACTTGTAAAATTCTATCGTAATGAAGCTCTTGGTTAAGGAACTAATGTTTGCTTACATTTTATTTTCTGGTTTTAGTACTCTTTCCATAATAGTAATAATAATCCTTGCATTTGATATAATAACAACATTGTGCTTTAATCACATCTTCGAGACGTCTCTAGCACTTTACAGAATATACTGTAAAGTGAATTGACTGTATATTTGTGGGCGAAACATAGCAGCCTAGTGCGCTCAGCAGTATCCCACAAACAGTCATGGATTGAAGCGACCAATTTATTATTTTTTTGAAGGAATGCAATCCGCTAATCGACAAATAACCGGGTTCCTATTTAATGCTAGGAGTCTGGAGTAAGGAAACTTGCCCAACATTTCACCCTGCCAGGAATCACACCACAGGTTTCCCGCTTGCGAGGAGAGTACTGTAATGGCTGAGCTACAAGGTGGTGGTTGGGGGCCACTACGAACAACAACAACTTGCACTTATATAGCGCCCTCCATGTAGCGTCTCAGAGTGCTTAACAGTGGGGGAGCCTGACTTCAAGCCACGGGGTGGGGGAAAGTGGCTGTAAGCATGATCGAAGAGGAAGGCTTTCAGGCGGTACTCGAAAAAGAGGAGAGGAGGCAAGGCAAAGGATTGAGGGAGAGCCTTTTGAGTTTTGGGGGATAGTAGCTGAAAGCGCGACCTTCGATCTAGGGGCAGAGGGTGCGCGGGACAAGCAGGAGGCCGGTGCCAGTCAAGCGAAGGCACTGGGTGGTGGATTGGGGAGTGAGGAGGTCGGAGAGGTAGGGAGGTGCCAGAGAGCGAATGGATTTGAACGCAAGTGTGAACTTTGAACAAGAGATGTAATGGGCCACTCTGGAAATCTGGAACTCTCTCCCCTAAAAGGCTGTGGATTATGGCTAGATACATTAAAAGTTGCAAGACTGAGGTGGATAGATATTTGTTACGTAAGGGTTTCAAAGGATATGGGGCTGGACGGATAATTGGCATTGAGATACAGATCAGACACGATCTAATAGAATGGCGGAACAGGCTCAAGGGGTTGAATGACCTACTGCTGTTCCTATATTTGTATCTTTCTATCACTCTTAAAGGATGTTACCATTTCACTCACCTCTCCCCACCTGAGTACTACACTTATACATGAGCAGTGGAGTACTGAAGGGGGAGCAGTACCAGTAAACCTGGCTGATTTTAACCTTCCTAACCCTGGAAAACTTGAGGCCAATTTTCCCATCTTTCTAAATATCCTGATCATGCAGATATTACAGTTCCCTAATTTTCAGGGTGCTATTCAATTTCTTTTCTGCTTCTCTAGGTGCCCTTGCAATATTGAAGGTGTCGAGCCGACCACCTGTTTCCTCGACCATAACCCTCTTCTTACCTCTCAGCTCCACCTCCTCTGCTCACAGATATCATAAACTACTCTCTGTCCACTGTTACTGTTCCCACCCCATTAAAAACCGCAGTGCTTCATAGCTTCCCACCACCTCCTTTCTGAACCCTTCCAATCTGGTTTCCTTGCCGTCCACAGCACAGAAACATCCCTGGTCAAAGTGACAAATGACATTCTCTCCATCTGTGACCAGGGCCCTCTCTGCCTCCTCATCCTTCTTGACCTCTCTCCTGCCTTCGACACCGTCGACCACTCTATAATAATAATAATCCTTGCATTTGATATAGCGCTTTTCACGTCGGTAGGACGTCCCAAAGCGCTTCACAGAACACACTGTAAAGTGAATTGACTATATTTGTGGGCAAACGCGGCAGCCAATTGCGCACAGCAATGTCCCACAAACAGTCGTAGATTGAAAATGACCAATTTATTATTGTTTTTGGTTTTGGAGGGATTATTATTAGGCTCTGTGTGGAGTAAGGAAACTTGCCCAAGGTTTCGCCCTCTGCCTGGGTTGAACTCAGGTCTCTTGCTTGCAAAGCGAGTGCTCTAACCACTGAGCTACAGGACTCTATCCTCATCCACCGCCTCTCCTCTCACCGGCTGTATCCTTGACTGGTTCAGATCATATCACTCACACCACCTCCACTTCATCTCCACAAATGGTTTTCCTCTAGCTCCTGCACCGTCTTATGTGGCATCCCTCAGGGCTTTGTCCTTGGTCCCCTGCTCTTCAACATCTATATGGCTCCCTCTTGGTGACATCATACGCAGAATGTCTGTCAGACATCAAGTCCTGGATGAGAACTAACTTTCTTCAGTTAAACGTCAACAAGATCGGAGCTGCCCTGATTGGCTTCTGTCAGCAACTCCTCACCTCAGACCCTGACAGCATCACTATCCATGGTTGCACCCTCCACCTTACTAAGCAAGTCCGGAACCCTGGGGTCTTGTTTGACCCTCAATTATCCTTTCTACCACACATCCATCCCATTATTATTATGACCCGCTCTGCCTTCCCCACCTCCGCAACATCACCCAGCTCTGCCACCGTATCACACCGCAGAACGCTGGAACCCTATTAAAACTTTCATTACATCGAGGCTTGGTTATGCAAACTCCTTGCTCGTCGGCCTCCCCAACTCCTCCCTCCACAGGCTGCAGATCATCCAGAACTCTGCAGCCCGTGTCCTCTCCCACACCAGGCTCCGTGACCCTATCACCCCCACCCTCGCCCGACTCCACTGGCTTCCCATCACACAGAGGATTCAGTGCAAGATCCTGGTCCTCACCTTCAAAGCCCTCCATAGCCTTGCTCCCCTCTACCTCTGCGACCTCCTAATCCCCTACCATCCTGCTCGCTCCCTCCACTCAGCGAGCTCCGGCCTGCTTCACGTCCCCCACCACCCTCTGGATCTTCATCCCGCAGTCCCTCCGCCTCACCCCTTCCCATGCCTCCTTCAGGACCCATCTTAAGACACTCCTCTTCGACCATGCCTTCAAGCTCCCTGCTTCCCTCCTTGACCTCCACCCTCCCCGATCCCGAACCTCAGCTCAGGTCCATAACTGACTGTCCAGCACCTTGGGGCATCCCCCTGACGTGAAAAGCGCTATACAAATGTCATTTTGTTGTTGTTGTTGTGTTTGGTTCTTGACATGGCCTAATGCAAGCACCAGAGGTTAATGATTCTATTAAACGTGCTCGCTTGATTTTATGCAAATACTTTTCACACACTATACTATTTTTAAGACTTGATATTACACAGGCCTGAAAGTCTGCAGGTTAAAAACATTTATTCACATATAGAAAATTAAAAATACAAGCACAGGTGAGTTTTTGCAGACTTAATTGAAAATACCCCTCTCTCTCCCCAAAAGGTTACTGGGGGCAATGCTGAGCATTGAAGCAAATGTGATTTGAGCTCAGGCTGACAATAATAATTGAATTCGAATTCAAGATCCTCACCCTCACCTACAAGGCCATTCACGGCCTCGCTCCCTCCTACCTCTCCGACCTACTATCCCCCTACCTACCTGCCCATACCCTCCGTTCCTCTGGCTCCGGTCTGCTCCACATCCCCCGCCCCAACCGCCCGACCATCGGTGGCCGGGCCTTCAGCCTCTCAGCCCCGAGGCTTTGGAACTCTATCCCCCAGTGCCTTCGCCGCTTCCTCCCTTTCCTCCTTCAAGGCCGGTCTCAAGATCTTTCTCTTTGGCCGTGCCTTCAGCTCCCCTCTCGACTCTCTACCCTCTCCTCGCTCCCTCCCTCCTCCCCTCACCCTGACCATTTCCCCCTCCTCACTCCCTCCCTTCCTCCCTCACTCTGACCATTTCCCCTCCCTCCCTTCCCTCCCTCACCCTGACCATTTCCCCCCAATGCTCGGGTCCTGACCCAACTGTGCAGCGCCTTGGGACGTCCTCCCGACGTGAAAGGCGCTCTATAAATGGAATCTTGTTGTTGTTGTTGTAATAATAATAATCCATTTCACCTTTCAAATCCGAGCTGAGGAGCCTGGTTTAGATGAAACTTTAGAGGCAGTGCGTGTCTGTGTGGACGGACAGTAACGATGGTCTCTGACGCTATTGTATTGGCAAAGAGAAGGGTGTTCCTCCGCAGCCGATGCTCCAATACAATGGTCGTGGGCTTTGCGCGTTGAGCGCTCAGGGCCTGTTATTGTGGAGCGGCGCTGTGTGTACGTTGTGTGCCCACGAACACCCTCAACTGCAGCTCTCTCGTGCAGAGGGTTACAATGTCAGCAGCTGATTGGCCAACGTGATGACATGCAAACATCATGTATGACCTGCATGTGCTGACACACGCAGAGCAGGTTCTGCAGCCACGTGGCGACCAGCGGGGCCGCCCCCGGCACGTGACTCCGCTCCGGCTTCAGGCGGCGCGCGCTGATGGCGTCACCGCGCAACTGGGTATAAATGGCGCCGCCGCGGGGCGGGGCTTCCTCTTTACTCGGCGACAAGATGGCGGTGAGTGGGAGACGGTGTGAGAGTGGGGGAGCGAGAGAGAGAGTGGGGGGGGGGTCAGGGAGAGAGAGAGTGGAGAGAGAGTGGGGTCAGGGAGAGAGAGTGGGGGGGGGTCAGGGGGAGAGAGAGTGGGGGGGAGAGTGTGGGGAGGGGAGAGAGAGTGGGGGGGGAGAGTGGGGGGGGTCAGGGGAGAGAGAGAGAGAGGAGTGGGGGGAGAGTGGGGGGGGTCAGGGGGAGAGAGAGAGTGTAGGGGGAGAGTGGGGGGGTAGGGGGAGAGAGAGTGAGGGGAGAGTGGGGGGGAGGGAGAGAGAGTGGGGGGGGGGGGGAGAGAGAGAGTGGGGGGGGGGGGGGTCAGGGGAGAGAGGGGGGGGGAGAGTGGGGGGGGGGTCAGGGGGAGAGAGAGAGTGTAGGGGGAGAGTGGGGGGGGTCAGGGGGAGAGAGAGAGTGTAGGGGGAGGGGGGGTCAGGGAGAGAGAGAGTGAGGGGGGGTGGGGGTCAGGGAGAGAGAGAGTGGGGGGTCAGGGAGAGAGAGAGTGTAGGGGGAGAGTGGGGGGGGGGGGGGGGTCAGGGGGAGAGAGAGAGAGTGGGGGGGAGTGGGGGGGGTCAGGGGAGAGAGAGAGTGTAGGGGAGAGTGGGGGGTCAGGGGAGAGAGAGAGAGTGGGGGGGGTCAGGGGAGAGAGAGAGGTAGGGGGAGTGGGGGGGGGAGAGTGGGGGGGTCAGGGGGAGAGAGAGAGTGGGGGGGGGGGGGTCGGGGGAGAGAGAGTGTAGGGGGAGAGTGGGGGGGGGAGAGAGAGTGGGGGGGTCAGGGGAGAGAGAGGTAGGGGGAGAGTGGGGGCAGGGGGAGAGAGAGTGGGGGGAGTGGGGGGGTCAGGGAGAGAGAGAGTGGGGGGGTCAGGGGGAGAGAGAGAGTGTGGGGGGAGACAGACATTGTGTGGGAGAGAGCGAATGATAGTGTGAGAGAGAAAGAAAGGGAGAAAGACAGTGTGAGAGAGTGTGAGATAAAGTGAGAGAGTGGGTATTAATGAGTGACCAAGTGAGTGGGAGGGGGGAAGTGGGGGAGGGGGTGTGAGTGTGTATGGGGGGGGGGGGAGAAGTGGAAGGGGCTATAAGGGAGAGAGTGAGAGACTGTCGGAGTGAGGGTGGGGATGGGTTGTTGAGTTGAGGTCCTGACATGGAGTGCGGTGATTAACTTATTCTTTCTGCAGAAGAAATCCGTGGTCATGAAGAAGAAGGCGGTGAAGAAGGGAGTTTGGAAATTCACCGTCAACCTCTCCCACCCGGTTGAGGACGGCATCTTAGATTGCGGAAACTTTGTAAGTTTTTTTTCCCCCCCGGATTGAAACGCAACTTGCAAATGTGCAGAGTTTCTGAGCCTTGGGTGATGGTTCTGGGTGGGGGAGGATGATGGTGGGGGGGGATTTACATGAGGTGGAAATTGAAGGGGGTGGAATTTTGTGGCTGTGGCACGTGGCTGTGACACGTTTGCACTCAGTGGAGTTGTGTGTAGCTGAATCAGGACTAAAAGTCCTGTAGCGTAGTGGTTAGCGCACTCACCTCGCAAGTCAGTGTTTACCTAACCATAAGTAGGAACGCGGTTATTAAGTCGATTAGCGGATTGCTTTCCGGTGGTAATTTATCCCTTCAATAAAAAATAAAAATAAAAATGCGGTCACACAATCCACGACTGTGGGACAATTGGCTGCCGTGTTTCGCCCACAAAATACAGTCAATTCACTATACGGTATATTCTGTGAAGCGCTTTTGAGTCGTCGCAATGAGGTGATAAGACCCTATATCAAATGCAAGGATTGTTATTAAATGTGCTGGTGTGGTTAGGGTGCCAGTCCCTAATCGTGACTAGGGCCCCCTTCCCTAGTGTCCCAATGTTTGTGTTTTCCCGCGGGCGACAGGAACAGTTCCTGCGGGAGAGGGTGAAGGTCGGTGCGAAGACCGGTAACCTGAGCAACGTGGTTCAGATCGAACGTCTGAAGACAAGGATTACAGTCACCTCCACCAGACCATTTTCAAAGAGGCAAGTATCAGCTCGGACTTGGGGCCTGGTATAAACAGATGATTTCTCGATTATGTCAGCAGATTACCGGAGCTGTTACGCTGCTGGGTGTATACCATAGACCACCAAATAGTGGGAATGAGATAGAGGAGCAAATCTGCAAGCAGATTTCAGAAAGATGTAGAAACAGGAGGCGACACACTACACAAGTTAATCACAACCCAGATTTAAAAGAATAGAAACAAAAGATGGTGGGAAATGTGGAATTCTCAGCCAGAAGAATCCAGATAGATGTTTTTATTAAATACATATACAGGGTGACCAAAAGTTGTGATACGATTGCAGTGTCTTAACAAGGCTTAAATAAATGATTTTTTTTAGTTAATAGTTACTATGACTTTTGGGTCGCCTTGCAGGAGCAAGCAGCTGGGAATGGGACAGACTTTTGTAGCCCAACAAGTCCTTGCTGGATTCTATATTCCGCCCCAGCCCTCCTTATCCCTTTTTCCTCTTACATCTTTGGATGAGACGTGAAGCCGAGATCCAGTCAGTGCCTGTTCAGGTGGCGATTAAAGATCCTATTCAAAAAGAGAAGTGAGTTTTTCTCTCTCCCGGTGTCTTTGCCAATAAATTCCCCCCAAAAAGTTGGTCACTCAATCCACGTTTGTTTGAGGGACACTGCTGTGCGCAAAGGTCTGCCATGTTTCACCCACAAAATACATAGGAACAGGAGGAGGATATTCAGCCCTTCATAAGAACATAAGAATTAGGAGCAGGAGTAGGCCATTCGGCCCCTCGAGCCTGTGCCCCGCCATTCGATAAGATCATGGCTGATCTTCTGACCTAACTCTAATTACCCGCCCTATCCCCATATCCCCTAATCCCTCTGTTTTTTAAAAATCTATCAGTCTCAGCCTTGAAGATGTTCAAGGACTGAGCATCTACAGCCTTCTGGGGGAGTGAAGTCCATAAATTCACTGCCCTCTGAGTGAAGGAACGTTTCCTCAACTCTTCTAAAAGGCTAACCCTTAATTTTCAGACTGTGACCCCTCGTTATAGATTCTCCCACCGGGGAAACAGACCCTCAGTGTCTACGTTATCAGCCCTTTAAGAATCTTATATGTTTCAATAAGATCCCCCTAATTCTTCTGTACTCTAGAGAATACAGCCCCAGTTTATTCAGCCTCTCCTCATAGGTCAGTCTCCTCATCCCAGGAACTAACCGAGTGAATCTACGCTGCACCCCCTCGAGGGCAAGTATGTCCTTTTTTAAATAAGGAGATCAAAACTGCACACAATACTCTCGGTGCGGTTTCACCAAAGCTCTATACAGCTACAGCAAGACTTCCCTACTCTTGTACTCTGAACCTTTTGCAATGAACGCTAACGTGCCGTTCGCCTTCTTAGTTGCTGCTGCACCTGCAAACTAACTTTTTGAGACTGGTGTACAAGGACACTCAAATCCCTCTAACGCTATCTAATCTCTTCCCCCTCTAGAAAATAATCGTTTTTCTACCTAAGAGAATAACTTCACACTTCACCACACTAAATTCCATCTGCCATTCGAGCCTGTTCTGCCATTTAATTAGATCATGGCTGATCTGTACCTCAACTAATCCTTTTAATTCTAATTTCCTGCTTTCTCCCCATATCCTTTAATACGCTGACCTACCAAAAACCTATCAACCTCACTCTTGAAGGTGTGGATGCATCCACAGCCTTTTGGGGGAGAGAATTCCAGATTTCTACCACCCTTTGAGTGAAAATATGCTTCCTGATTTTACACTTAAATAGCCTGGTTCTAATTTTAAGACTATTCCCCTTGTTTTGGATTTCCCCACCAGAGGAAATAGCTTCTCTGTATTTATTTACCCGATCAAAGCCCTTTATCATCTTCAATACCTCAATCAAATCCCCCCTCAACCGTCTAAACTCAAGGGATTACAATCCAAGTTTACGCAGCTTTTCCCTGTAACTTAACCCTTTTAGGCCTGGTAACATTCTAGTGAACCTGCGCTGCACCCCCTCCACGGCCAATATATCTTTTCTGAGGTGTGGTGTCCAAAACTGAATGCAGTCTCCAGATGGCGTCTGACTAACACTATACAGCTATGCATCCTTTGTTTAGATTAAAATTCTATGAAGCATTTTGAGACGTCTCAACAACGTGATAAGTCGCTATATCAAATGCAAGGGTTATTATTCCCTCTCTGTACATGATAATAATAATAATAATACTTGCATTTGATATAGCGCTTTTCACGTCGAGAGGACGTCCCAAAGCGCTTCACAGAACACACTGTAAAGTGAATTGACTATGTTTTTTGTGGGCGAACGTGCAGCCAATTGCGCACAGCAATGTCCCACAAACAGTCGTGATGGGATGGAGCAGTGTGGGGAAGCCACATTTGATGGGAGGGCTGTGCTTGGTCAGGCTGTGATAATCACCGTTGCTTTCCTCTCTCAGGTACCTGAAATATTTGACCAAAAAATACCTGAAGAAGAACAACCTTCGTGACTGGCTACGGGTGGTAGCGAGCGACAAGGAGAGCTACGAGCTGAGATACTTCCAGATCAGCCAGGAGGATGAGGATGAGGAGTCCGAGTGAGCGAGGGCATTGTGGAGCCTGAGCGAGGGGAGATGCTGCTGGAGGTTTTATTGTTTTAAATAAAAAGTATTAAATTGGGCACTTTGGGCACAGGACTGTTTGTGGGACGTTGCTGTGTGCAATTGGCTGCTGCGTTTCACCCACAAAATATACAGTCAAATCACTTTATATTCTCTGAAGAGCTTTGATATGTCTCAATGACGTAATAACTCAGGCGCTATATCAAATGCAAGGATTGTTATTGTATAAAAGTCATCTATATATAAAAGTGTTTATATTTAAAATAATAAACTCGGTAAAAGCAAAGTCAGTGATTTGTCCTCTTATGATTCAGCTTTTAATGTGTAATTATGTATACTGTATATATTTATATGTATCGTAATCATCTCATTATCAAGTGATTTACTTAGGTTCATTCCATCACTTTCTGAGAATACTTTAATTATAACTGGTCACAGAAAAGGTGACGCCAAGATAAGCTGAATCGCCACCTGTGCTGTAAACATTTATAAGTGTCATCAATAAACCTCTTCATGCCTCAGCACCTCTCTATCTCCTTCCCTGCCTCGCAAGCGAGAGGACCTGGGTTTGATTCCCGGGCAGGCCGAAATCTCAAGGCAAGTTTCCTTACTCCACACGCCTCTGTTTACCGAGCAGTAAGTAGTTAGTCAATTGGCGAATCACTTTCCAGGGATAGTCATACTTTTTAAAAAAAAAACTCCATAACTGTTTGTGGGACACTGTTGTGTGCAATTGGCTGCCGGGTTTTGCACACAAAATACACTTTACAATATGCTCTGCACTGCTCATCGGACATGATGTGATCAGTCGCTTTATCAAATGCAAGGATTGCTATCAAGTCTGATCTGGAATTATTATTGTCATCAAGTCCACCACTCACCACCTTCTCGCATATCCTCTCCAATTCCAACAACCCGGTTGTTAGTCGATTGGCAGATCACATTCCACTTGAGTCCAAAATTGAGGATTTGCTCGCCTCTTCCCCCATCCACCCCTTCCGCATCTTCCCCTCACACCCTACACACCTTCGACTCCGTCTCTTCCCTCACCACCACCATCTCAAAAAGCCCACCACCTGCTACCTCGATCCTATCGCCATCGGTGGCCGGCCTTCAGCCTCAGCCCCGAGGCTCTGGAACTCTATCCCTCAGTGCCTTCGCCGCTTCCTCCCTTTCCTCCTTCAAGGCCGGTCTCAAGACCTTTCTCTTAGACCGTGCCTTCAGCTCCCCTCTCAACTCTACCCCCTCCTCGCTCCCTCCCCTCTCCTCACCCTGACCATTTCCCCACTGCTCGGGTCCTGACCCAACTGTACAGCGCCTTGGGACATCCTCCCGACGTGAAAGGCGCTCTATAAATGGAATCTTGTTGTATCCCCACCCCTCCTTATCTCCCACTCCCGGCCCCTCTTAACTGATATCAACCTCCTTATCCACTGGCACTGTTCCAACCCCATAAAAGCAGCTGTCATCACTTCTCAAAAAACCTTCCCTGGCCCCATCACTACTATCCAGCTATCACCCCGTCTTTTTCCTCTCCCAAGGCCCTGGAGCGAGTTGTTGCGTCCCAACTTCACTCTTTCCTCTCCTGACATTCCCTCTATGAACCTCTCCAATCAGTCCTGGTCAAAGTCACTAACGACATTCCATCCATCTGCGATATGCCTTCTTGTCCTCCTTCGACGCTGTTGACCACTCTATCCTCCCCCGTCTACTCAACCTTCACGGACCTGCTTTTGCCTGGTTCAAACCTACCTCTCCCAGCATCTCCGCTTTGTCTTCGCTAACAGCTTCTCCAGCCCCCGCACCATCATGTGTGGTGTTCCTCAGGGTTCTATCCTTGGTCCCCTCCTTTTCAACACGTACATGTTCCCTCTTGGCGACATTATCCGTAGACATGGGGTCAACTTCTAATGTATGCGGATGACACTCAACTTTATCTCTCCACCTCAACCCTTGACTCCAGGACCACTGCTGACCTCACAGACTGCTTGTCGGACATCAATTCCTGAATCGGAGCTAACTTCCTCCAGTTGAATGTCAACAAGACCGAGGCCCTCCTGCTTAGCTCCCATCAGTGCCTCCATACCTTGTGCGCTGACGGCATCACTTTCATGGATGCACTTTACACCTCACGGAACCAATACAGTACCTTGGGGTCCTGTTTGCCCCCCAACTGTCCTTTACACCCCACATCCATGCCATGATCCACTCTGCCTTCCACCTCCGCAACATTGCTCAGCTCCGCCACTGACTCTCTCCACAGGCTGCTGAGACCCTCATTCACATCGAGGCTTGACTATGCAAACTCCTTGCTCATCAGCCTCCCCAACTCCTCCCTTCACTGTAGATCATCCAGGACTCTGCAGCCTGTGTCGTTTCCCACACAAGGCTCCGTGACCCTATCACCCCCATCCTCACCTGACTCCACTGGCTTCCCATCACACAGAGGATACAATTCAAGATTTTGGTCCTCACCTTCAAAGCCCTTCCTGGTCTTGCTCCCCCCTACCTCTGCAACCTCTTACCCCTACCAACCTGCCCCCTCTCCCTCCCACATCTGTTCAGCGGGCTCCAGTCTGCTTCACATCCACTGCGCCCTGAGCGGGTTGTGCCGGAGCAGCTTCTGCCGCGGTCAGGCCCCATCTGCCGTTGCTGCGGTTGAGCCGAGCTTCAGCTTGTCCCTCAGTATATAGTCCCTGATCGTAGTGTGCGTGAGCCTGAGGCAGGCCGGCCCGTCCCCTCATTCTGTCAGATGAACGCCTGGTTTCAGGAACCAAAGCTCCTGCTTTACTGAGGTTATGGTCCTCCAGGCACATCGATGTGGGTTTCGCTGTGAAAACATTTCTCCTCACCTCCCCTCTGTTTCTTTTAACACCTATTTTAAATCGGTGTCCTCGGGTTACACACCCGCCAGTGAGAATAGTTTCTCCTTGTTCACCTTACTGAATCCCCACAGAATTTTGAAAATTTCCATTAAGTCTCCTCTTAACCTTCTCTGCTCTAAGGAGAATAATCCCAGCTTCTCCAGTCTCTCCTGATAACTGAAGTCCCTCATTCCTGGTACCATCCTGGTCAATCTCCTTTGCATCTTCTCCAATGCCTTGACATCCTTCTTAAAGTGTGGGGCCCAGAACTGAACACAGTCTCTCGCTGAGGCCTAACCAGTGCTTTATATAAAGGTTCATCATAACTTCCTGACTTGGGTATCCTAAGCCCCTATTTATAAAGCCTTGTATCCCATATGCTTTTTGAACAGCTGTATCTACCTGTCCGGCCACCTTCAAAGATTTACCTATATGATCCCCAGGTTTCTCTGTTCCTTCACCCCCTTTAAGATTGTCCCATCAGCGTATATTGCCTCTCCTCATTCTTCCTCCAAAAATGCATCACTTCACATTTCTCCACATTAAACTTTATCTGCCACATGTCTGCCCATGTTACCAATCTGTCTATGTCCTCTTGCAGTCTGTTACTATCCTCCTCACTGCTTATTGCGAGTTGTTGGGATCTGGAATGTGTTGCCTGAAAAGCCGGTGGAAGCCGATTCGATAACAACTTTCAAGAGAGAATTAGATAATTATTTGGGGAGGACAAATTTGCAGAGCTATGGGGAGAGAGCGGAGGGGGTGGGGTGGGTTTGATTTGGATAGGTCTTTAAAAGACACTATGGGCTGAATGGCCTCTTTCTGTGCTGTATAATTCTACGATCAACAAATTACATTTGTACAGCACCTTTCAAGAGGGAGTAAGTCCCAGTAAGTGCAGTGACTATATTTCATGGGTGAAGTGTAGCAGTCAATTGTGCACAGCAGTGTCTTACAAACAGATGTGGAGTGAGTGACCAATTTTTGTTATGATGTCTTTAATTTTCTGCGAGGTGTTTTGAGACCTGTACGATTAAATATGCGATTAAATATTCTTTCCCTCCATGTTATGTTCAGAGCAGCCACCAGAAGGCAGTCCAACACCACATGGTGGCCAGAAGCCCTTGTAATACATGGAGAATCTGGGTTAGAGTAAACAACAGTGGGGGAGTGAGCCCCAGCACAGACACCATGGGGAGAGACAGAGAGAGAGAGAGAGAGCAGGGAATGGGGTTAGAGTAGAGAGCTCCAGTGGGGGAGCGAGCCCCAGCACAGACACCATGGGGAGAGAGAGAGAGAGAGAGCAGGGAGTGGGGTTAGAGTAGAGAGCTCCAGTGGGGGAGCGAGCCCCAGCACAGACATAAGGGGCCCAATGGCTGACTCGTGTGCTCTAAGTGGATCTTATTTGACTATAGAATATTGCAGGTTTGGGAAGCTGGTTGTTGATAATGGATTTTGCGAGCATTTGGCCTCAGAATCTCCAGATTTGGCCACGTGATCAACAGAGTCATGTTCCCCGACATCTCTGGTAAAAGCGACACTGAATTATGAGGCGATAAATTAAGACATTTTAATGTTTAAAAGTTACCACTCAGATTGTGAAACATGTTTGTAGATCAGGAGCCTCGCAGCCTCAGCTGTTACTCAGTGCGAGCACTGGGGGAGTGGGAGTTAGTGAAGGAAATGATCCCAGTTTATTACTGAGGATCTCGGGGAGCATTAGGGAGCTTGTATTCACTAATTGGGGGCTGGTTTTAATAATAATAACAATCTTTGCATTTGATATAACATCTTATCACAGTTGTTGAGATGTCTCAAAGCAATTCGCAGAATATATTGTAAAGTGAATCGACTATACATTTTGTGGGCGAAACGTGGCAGCCAATTGAGCACAAACAGTCAGGGATTGAGTGACCAAAATAACAAAGGCATGTGGAGTAAGGAAACTTGCCTAAGGTTTCGCCCTGCCCAGGAATCAAGCCAAAGGTCTCTCACTTGTGAGGCATGTGCACTAACCACTACATTATGAGACTCCACAATAGTTTGAGGTAGGAACATCCCCTGAATATGAAATGGGTTTAAACTCATTAGGTGCATGATGGCACCTCTGACAATGCAGCTCTCCACCCAGTACTGTACTGTCAACCTGGACTGTGAGTTTAAAGGCCTCATTGTGGGGGTTTGAACCCTCTGACTCAGAGAGCGATTGAGCCAGGCTGGCACCTGACGTCGCAGTGTTCAAGAGGCCTGTGCAAAGCAATTATTTAATTTGGAAAGATGATGTTGACAATATTCTCGTCTAATCATTATTCTCTCTGAGCCACAGGGAACAGTTGCTATGCTATAAACATTTTGATTTCTGCCTGGATCTTCGTGCCTGACTCACGGCTCTGAATCATCACTCTGCTCTCTGTTGTGAGCAATTTCCTTTAGAACCTTTTCAATTGACATTTAGAAACATAGAATCATCGAAACAGGAGGAGGCCATTCAGCCCCTCGAGCCTGTTCCGCCATCCTATAAGATCATGGCTGATCTATCTCTCAACTACCCACCCTTGTCCTATATCCCTTGATACCTTGACCTAACAAATATCTATCCACCTCAGTCTGGACAATGTGAATGGATCCAACATCCACAGCCTTTTGGGGAGAGAGTT